AGAGTCCTGCTGTTGGCTTAAGTTAGGAGTTCTCTCTCTTTCCCTTAATTGTAGTTCTGCCATTCTCTCCTCATGTTTTAACCGTTCACTTTCTCTTTCTATCTCCGCTTGTATTCTTTCCCTCTCCATCTCAGCCATTCTTTCTCTCTGCCTCTCTTCAGCTTGCATTCTTTCCTTCTCCATCAGCATCTTTTCTCTTTCCCTTTCAGCCTGAAACTCAAGTTCTTTCAACCTCATTTCTAGCCTAAGCTTTTCAATTGACAAAGAGGTAGCTATCTGTTCTTGTCTACTCTCTTGTCCTTGGGTCTCAGCTTCTTCAACTACAGAAGCAGTTGTCTCCCCTTCTCTTTCTGGTTCTTCAGAAGTACCCTTCTTTGTTTTTGGTGGTGCCATGGTGCCTAATGTGTGTTAAAATGGCGCTAGAGGTGTCCTGTCTCTGAGGTAATTCTAAGTGTCACGTTTTGACAAAAATTTACCTCAGGATTCTCACAAAAATGCTCTGGATTGAGATGTTACACGATCCCACACCGCTGCAAACCAATTATAAAGGCATGCAGATGGCAATACGATCAATCCTACCATCTGACACCAAATTATAAAGGCACGTCGTGTGGCCAAACAATATAACTGGACAGGGGGCAAACAGATCCCACCACCTGTCCCTCCAATATAAAGGATTTACACCACTGGCACCTATATAACTGTTATGAGGGAATGTCTCTCTATTTAAACTTTCGCTGCCACCATACACTAAATGAACAGGAACCCTCTAGCTGGTTAAACTGTTAAAAGGCTTTTTAGACCACCAAGTACTGTGTCTTCCTATGTGTTTTCTTATTTAAAGGGAAGCAGGTGAGGTTGAAAAGGAACAGGGACTAAATCCACAAATGTACACTTGACTCAGGCTTTTAAGTTTAAAAAAAACAAGGAAAGTTTATTTAATATAGTACAGAATGAAGTGAATGCAGTTTAATAAGCTTGGCTGTTACAGATAAAATGTTCTTGTTCTTGAAAGCGTAACGGTTGCATGAGAATGGTTCTTTCTTGGTTACAAATATAAAACCCAGCTATTTCTTCCTTGAATAGCTGTACCCAGTTTGCCACAGCTTACTTCGCTGGCAAACTTCAGGCAAACTGCCTATTCTAATCACGAACTCCTAATTCTGTAATCCTCCCCTAACTCTAACATCAACAGACTGACTCCCTAAAACAGCTTCTTTCTTTCCCTCCAAACAGTCTAACCCCGCCCCCCCTTTAATAAACCAATCCTGGCTGCTTTAAGGCTGGCTCAGGCCTAGGCCACTCCCCCTCTCTGAAATGGAGCTTTCCCTAAACTAAAATGGCTCCTGCTGCCCTCTGCCAGGCCTTCTAAGGCTGAACTAACTGGCCTGTCTCTCCTAGGCCCTGCCACCCAGGCTGGCAAGGTAGGGGATCTTCACAGCCCTTATTCACCTCCACTCTGAATGGGAAACCTAGGAGTCATTAGTCCATTTTATAAAGACTTCCAGCATCCCATTCTATTATTTACAGTATTTATATACCACCTTTCCCACCCCTGGGGGGACTCAAATAACCTGCATTTTTTTCCTATTCAAGAACAAACATGACTCAAGAACAAACGTTTTAATTTGTCCGAATAAATCTTAACTCAAGCTAAATAAACCTACTTAACCCTTAGAAAGTTCTACAGTTTAGCTAGTTAAAGGACCAAGAAAGAACATTCTCTCTGCACTGAGATTGCACGTCTGACTCGTCCTTGAATTTTAGCTTTGATTTCATCCCTCATTAACATAAATAAATAAAAACCCTGAAGCTCATTATTAATAATAGAGCAGTGCTGAAACAGGGAGCTGTGAACACTCTCTCTAAAGATTCCTGCACATTAGCAGTAAAAGAAGATCAAAATGCAATTGGTATCAGTCTGTTTGCAGGTAAGAACAGCAAGCAAGATAGCAGCAAGAGGTGGTCTTGCCTGCAACATTTTGGCAAAGTTTGCCACTTCAGTCCCTGGTCTGAGATGACATTTTTGTTTTGATTTGTTTATTTTTTGTTTCATCTTTATGCTTTGGGAGGTAAGAATTTCACTTCCTAGGAACAGCTCCCAAATACATGTAACATGCTTGTTTCTAGGGTAGCATATGAATAGTTAGGCTGCAATCTGATGATAAGACTATGTAACAAAGTTTGAAAAAAATCTGTTTCTGGTTTGACAGTGTTATTGCTGTTTAATTGTATGGTACTTTTAAAGTATTTGTTATACTCCAGAAACTTTGTTTTTGTGGCTACCACAAACTATGTTGAATTGGTTGAGGCTTGATGAGATATTCATTGCCAAACTATAGCAAAATGTGTTGCAAGGTAATTTAATGAACTTTTTCCATGTTTTTATGATAGAACCAATCAGAAAACGACATTTATAATCCAGGAACAAAAATAATGTTACATAGTGTAATTAGTACGGAGTAAATTGTGCTGAATACCCTAAAGACACCAGATCCCCTTTGATCTTGGGAGCTAAGCAGGGTCAGCCAATGAATATCAAGAACTGCAGTCTCTATTACAGACACAGAAACTAGCAGTATCACCTCTGGGTATTCCTTACCTAAGAAAACCCCAACTTGAAGGCGCATATGCACACACACAAGCTCCACTGAACACAAGAAGACTTACTTTGGAGTAAACATGCATAGAATTGGAATGTTAAAAGGTGAATTTATGACTCAGTAATTCAGTGCTTTAAAGGACATCTATCTCATCTTTCAGCATTGTCGGTGTTATTTACTCTGCCTTTGGGGTGCCCTGTTTGTCCGCTGTCACTTAAATAGCTTACAAAAATATTCTAACTTTATAATCCATGTGGAGAAATGTAAATGGTAAGGGAAATACATTAAATATATATTAATGGATTTGTTTTAAAAGGGTTGTTGGAAGAGAAAGAAGCCAAATGCAACAGCAGCTGAAAAGAAAGGAAGAGACAGAAATATGTGCTTATTTTATAAGAGACATATATCTTGCTATAGAAGTCAAAGGCTGGAATCCTGCTGTTATAATGAAAATGACTTCCATGTATGTTCTTCAAAGGATGTTGTAGAAGGAGGTATCTAGTACCTCCTTGTGCAATGTCCCTCGCTACCCAGCACAACCATGGGTGCACATCCACAGCCCATTAGTAGCTGAGTGGATATGTAGAAGTGCTTAGGAACTAAGCAACTGTAGTTGGACATATGATAGAAAGGAAAAGCCATCACATTCCCAGGCTTGCAGCTTTAAATTACATGCATTATGCTGGAGATCGTGAGGATGACAGATGTCTTTTATTTGTAACAGTCCAGTTGTGGTTGGATTGTGGCTAGTGCCTCTCCCACAGCTGCTAACTGGTAATGGGTGCAGCTCTGGTGGTTCCAGTGCTGTCATGTTGCATTGAGTCCAGCATAGAAAGTCTGCTGTGCTTTAGTTGGGTATTATCCAAAGAGTTAAAATATAAAATCAGTGCTACTGCAGGGTCTGGGTACAAATTTGTAACTCATCCCATCTACCCCCCCCCCCCCACACACACACACACACACTGCCCTCTTCTGCTGCAATCACCATGATGTCTTTTCATTCATTCATACACAGAGGGAGAGAGATAGACATTTAGCAAGGCAGATTAAGTGTCTGCTGGATCACCAACCTTCAGAGAGATGCACCTGCTTTCTTCATTTCCCTATGGGACAAAATAATGACAGCACACATGGGGTTCTGACACATCCATCAGGCAAAAAAAAAGTATGCTTTTGTGTGTGTGTGTGAGTTTCAAAGGAAATACGCTGTGATTATTTCTACGGGTAATCAAGTAACAGAATGAGAACTATTCTGTTCTCAGAGGATCCAACAAGGGTCAATTTCTTTATTGTATTCACAACAAAAATGTGGGAGTTGTATATGCCCTCTCCAGCACTACTTAACAAGTGAGGGTGGGGGCAAGAAATGAACATTGTGGTTTCCCTTTTCTTTTCCTCTTAAATGGAGGCTATTGAGATACCAAGTCATTGCAAAAATTGAGGAAATGGGACAAAACATTCTCTGGGAGTGTCTTGCATCTGCCCCTCCCCTTTCTTAATTCAGAGCAGAATAAAATCAGAGCAGTCCTATAACCAACCCAAACCACACATGGAAACCAATGACATTAAAATGTAAGTTCTACATTTTGGTTGGACTTTGCTTGCACATATTTTGAACCATTGTTGAGTTTTCCTGTGACCTCGAAATAAAATGTACATTGAGAAACAACAATATCTTCATATCGCTCACAACTTGGTGGTTTTGAAATATTTTTCCAGTGGGGTGCCCAGCCCCAAACCTGGAATTTTTCTGGAGGCCTGGCCTAGACAACCCTACAAAATCAGTGGATTTGCCATAAATTGACAGGTGACTTGAAGGCACACAGTAGATTTTATGACATTTGTTCACATTTGCTTTTGTTCTTCGTCTCACAAAAGTCCATTCAGGAAAAAACAAAGAGTAGTTGCATATTGCCTTTGATTGGCAGACCTCTATGCTGACTCTTGTTATCTGTACCATTTTCTACCATATGATTGTCACAGATAAAGCAGAGCACATACTATTGCCAGTTAGGCATGCTATCTCCAAGCAGATAGCTGTTTTATTGTCGCAGCTAAAACTACAAAGAATCCCATATCACCTTTAAGACTAAGAGATTTCACACAGTTGTACAGAGAGGTTGTTCATTTTTTCTCAGCAACAAACATCTCTCTTCTATGTGCCCACAGCAGTAGGTTCACCGAAGAATCCCTATCTATTTACTCTTTCTCTCCCTCCCCTCTCCTGCTTTTCACCAGTGAGGGAGTACAGTTACTAAGCAGCCTATGAGTCCTTAACAACACTCCCTCCTCCTCCTCCCCCTCCCTTGTTTCCCTTCCACAATTCTTTTAACCAATGGCAAGTATTGGAAGGATGTATGTCACAAAGGGTAAGGGTGGGATAGAAGCCTTGTGTGGGAGGGAAGAATAGGAGGAAGATGTTGCCCCTGGGCATTGGGTGCTCAGCAGCCTATGGGGATACGAGCCTCTTTCCATTCCTTCCCTTCTCTTCCTCAGCACCAGCCTGCAGACAGGTAAGTTGCAGCCACAGGGGCTACTGAGGAGGCCTCTCCTGGCAGGAGTGGAGCAGAAATTGGCCAAGGACCCACTACCCTTACAGAACACACAAACCGTCTGGGCAGGCATTTTGCCTCTCTATCCCTAGGCATGTTTCACCTTGAGCAAAGTAGAGGTCAGAAAACATCTAGACTACAAGTGATGCCTTCTCCCAAATAGTGGCTTCCACAAATCTTTGCCTCTGCAGCCTGTGGAAAAGGTTTGATGCACTAGGCTAAGGAGGACAAATGAACACAAGAATATATTCATGAGCACTTCACCCCCTTCAGAAAATCCACTGCTCAGATTCAAAAGGAATCACTTAATAATAAACTGTAGTATTGGAGGGTTGGAAAGAGAGGAGATACTTATGGGAAAGAGACGTTACTTTTTAACAGGGAAAAACTAAAGACCGGAATTGGAAAGAATATTTGCTATTACTGATTTCCTAGTTGAAAAATAAGTTTTCTGACACCCAGGCAGGAAGAAAACACAGTGGTGAGAATTCTGTGCCATTTTCACCTGGTATTTGCATATCTTAAAATGTGTCAGATTATTCTGCATAGAAATACATGTGGATTGTTTGCATGAATTTCTGTACAAATACATTCTTTTTTTTGTGCAGAAATGCACAAAATTGTTGATCTTCTATTTAAAAACCAGTAATCCTGCACACAAAAAAACTAGTTATTGGGCAAAACCCCCACGTGACTTAATGTGCAAAATAATTTCCCGAAACACTTCAGGATCTGTGTACATTGGAAAAGAACTGCACACAAATATTAGTTTTCTCTGCCACAGGGAGAAGACTGCAGAAATTATTTTCCCTCACTTGGAAAATAAATATTTACATCCCACTAGAGCATGTGGAAAGATATTATTGCCAAATAATATAGTTCTCAGCTAAATGCAGAGAACTATAATTGCTGAGGGGACAGTATCATTTTCTGGGTGGATATTTATTAATTAAATGTATACAAACTTTCTGCATTAAAAAAGGAAAGAAAAGGAAATAATAAAAAAAGTACAGAATGAATATGGTGCTGTGTGATCACCCCTACAATCTTTTCATCTAATCTTCCATTTTCAAGACCTTAATATGCTCTGGATATAATTATGGAAGATTGTAGTAAGTTGTCTGAAAAGTTGGGGATGGAGGGTGAGAAGGGAGCCACAAACTTCTCTAAAAATCACTTTTCAATAAATGCACAATAGAAATATGACGGTCAACCCTGTGTGAGTCAGGGATGGATGTTTGTAGATTTAGACTTCAGATGAGGCTTCAGTTATTGAATCTCTTGTCTGGATTTCTGGAATGAAACCTTTGGTAATGGGCATCATAGGGATAAGGATTTCAAACAGATAAGTACTTGGAATGTCAAAGAGAAAGCTTTGTGGTGGATAATGTTTGCTATTTTAACATTTCCCCCCTTTGGTTTGCCATCATTTACAGTTGGAGGCTTGTCAAACAAGTTACTGGAGAAATATTTCAAAAATAAATGGAAAAACATTCTATATCCAGCTGCTGTGTAATTCAGTGGCTGCTGTAGCTTCCAAGGCAGTGCGTTGATGGGTATTTGTCCCAATGTTGAAGCAGTTGTCTCAAGTACTTAACCTATTTTGAAAACAGGATTCAGTACCTTGAATGGTTCCTCCCTCCCCCCTGGACCTTTCTTCTGATATGTGACCCTTGCCTCAGAGCTGAAACAAGCTAATGCTAAAAGCCTGATGGTCAAAACGTAATTAAACAAGATATTGTATGAAAATGCAGTTGTTTTTAAAAAGTTCACAACTATTTAAAAACAGAACATTGAAGATAAAAATACAGCATACTATGAGGAAGACTTACTGCAATCACTTACCAACCATGTGTAAATAATGAATTCTTTGCTTGCTAGGGAAAGGAAACCAAAAGGCCAACTAAGCTTGTGGGGGAAAAAAAATCACAGCTCAGAAAAGTAACTTTTGAGCTACAGCCTAGAAACCCCCAATTAGTATGACCTTTTAAAAAAAGTCACTTTGGAGTGCTCTGTCCTAAAAGATCAGTGGAGACTTTCAGGAACCTTCAGAATGTAAAACAGCAATAAGAATTGTGTGGCCCACAGAGGCTATTATATGTCTCCAGGCTTTAGCCTCCAAAGTCCAAAGACTCTTCTCCCCACCCTCAATTAAATTTATCCAAGCATATTTTGGTCTTCAAATGACTGAGTCACTGCTCCCAAAGGCCTGCAGGATCAGCTCTTTTACAGAATCCAAAAGCTGCTTCCTCAAACAGCTCCCTCACTCTGCCTAATTGTAGGGCTGGCTCTGAAGAAATTTTGATTATTTGCCCTTCACGGCTGAAATAATGAATCAAGAAGAAGATGGAAAACAGTGTCATTTGGAAAAAAAAAAGATATATTTCTAAATAGAAGTCTCTTTGCTTGAAAATCCCTTATAAGATATCCCTGGAATCCTCTTGGTGATTTATGCTGGCAAAATGTCATTTATGACAATCTAAGTCACTTTTTTGATCAAGTCATAACAGCATCAGTGACAGAGCAGTGATACGAATCTCTGTGATGAGGTAATGTCCACAGAGCAGTTTTGTCTCTGGACAAACACAGCACTTGCTGCCATTCCCCCAACAATACAATGCACACACCTCCACGTCAGCTTTGGCATCATGACTCCTCTCCCTCTGCTGCCAATCACACTGACCCAAAAGATCTTGATCATTGCCTATATTTTCCTACATCAGGAGTGAGCAATGGCAGAGGGGGTCAGGGCCAAGACTCCAAATTAATGGGGTGGATTTAGGCCTGGATGATTGGACTAAGCCACTGCATTTTTCAACAGTTTTGAACCATGGCGGGAGTTGGGGGGATACTCCAATTTTTTAATGAGAGGTGTGAAGGACATTTCTGGGAAAGCCTGGTGGAAGGCAATCAATTGCAGTTCCAATAATGTTATGAAGAGGAGCTGCAGGTGAAAAGAATGTAATGAAAGCACAGACTGTCTCCTGGACAGGAGATAGGAGTTGGCTTTGACAGAGATAGGGGTGGATTTGACAGAGCAGGATTATTGTAACACATGCCTATGCTGGGCAGTTGTCCAGGAGCCTTCTGAACAAAAAGAATGTATGCACAGACTAGAATTTAACACTGTTTTTTTTCAATAACCTGCATAAACAATCAAATCTTCCATTAACTCAATAGAAGGAGAAAGATTAAGACTTGTAGCAGGGAGTTAATATGTCTTTTTACCTTTTTGTTTCTGTTTATTTTCCACATCTTCCCCTTCCTCTTTTTCCTCCTTCTCCCCAGAAAAAAGGGGGACACAGGATGCATTATGCTGTTCATAAAGCAGGTGACATTTGATACATTTGGCAAAGAAAGAGAAATGCATTCCCCTGCACATGTGAGCCTCCAGGTGTCACTGGACCTCATCAGTGCCAAATTAATTTAGTTTCACGGAGTTAAACTGTGTTTTGGATTATAGTCTGAATGGAGAAGTGAGCAGTTCTAAAAGGCATGCAGCAGCCCAAGGCATTAGCATTAAAACAACAATTAGCACAGCATAGCACTATTACAACAAAGTCTAACGTTAGTTAGAACACTAACAAGAGAAATATTATATGGGAATGTAGGCCAGTGGTAGCCACTCTCATATTAGATGGTATGTGTGAGGAGTTCACTCTGGGTTTTCATCTGAACAATAAAGGATATATTCAAGATGCTATACCATTTTTGGGAGTGGGGTTCAGCACTTGAGGTACCTCATTTAAAGTTTGAAGTGATAGCTAGAGTGGATTCACATAATCTACTCACATGGTTGCCCACCAACTACCTATAATTTTGGGAGACTGTAATTCTGTCCTCCATGGTACTGGAGAACAGCTGAAGTGCTAAGTCTGTCTTTTCTATCTGTTTGATACAGCAAAGTTGGTCTGTTTTACCAGTGATCCACTCTAGTAACCAGAGTAAAGTTTTTTTCTAAGCACAATGCATCATGTTTGTTACTGAACTGCATATTATGTACACATTGATATATTTACATTAGAGTTCTTGCCTACAATTAGCAAAATGAAAGGGACAATGGATTGCGAGTCAGCTTGTGGTTACTTGAACCAATAATCTCTCCATGTGGCTGACATTTCCAAGGTGAGCCTTTAAGATAACTCCAAGAATATTATTGTGTTAAAGAAAAAAAACACTGTCAAAAAGTTGACCTAGGGTGCGTTTTCCTTCTAAGTAATCTTTGCTGAATGATGGTGACATTTACACAATTTCTTCTTGCAAGCTGCAATGAAATGTACCTTTTTCCCTTTTACATGACAGTTGGCCAAACTCTTTGATACTGATTTTCCTTTTCTGTATCATGGTTATGGCATTTATATATGTGTGGTAATCACATGATTTCTATCTGTCTATAGTGGGTTTTCCTTCTAGATGTGCAGGCTAGGTATCCAGAAAGATTTTCTGCACTGGATTTCGCTTGTGCAAGATATTTCACATTTTCAAAATATTTCCACATATACTTCACTATAATTCTAGAATATAGGGAGCTCATGGTCAATGGGATGTTCTGTAAGTCCACTGTTGATTTTTTGCCCCATAGGAATTTCCATTGAGTATAAGTAAGCTCATTGGATGACCATGACTTCTTGGCTACAAAACAATGAAACCTGCTCTGGTAGATCTGAAAAATGTCTGTGTATTGTAGCATCTTGTTTGCAGATGGAACTGGGATCTCGCAAGTATGGCAGCTGCATATACTTGGCACTTAGATAAAGAAAAGATAAATCCACACCACATAATTATAACAGTTTAATCGTAGTTTAAGTACCATGATTGTATCTCATGAAAACCTGGAATTTATAATTTGGGGCAAAACTCAGAATTTCCTTGTGCCCTCTCTCTAGCAGAAATAAATGCCATTCCAATGCATTGTTATTGTTGTTGCTGTTGCTACTACTATATTGGAGTTGTATCCATGTACCTTTGAGTGAGCTTTGTTAAATCAATGGGACATCTCAATAGATATGTGTAGGATATTGCGCCCCCGGTGGCGCAGTGGGTAAAACCCCTGTGCTGGCAGGACTGAAGACTGACAGGTCGCAGGTTCAAATCCGGGGAGAGGCTGATGAGCTCCCTCTATCAGCTCCAGCTCCTCATGCGGGGACATGAGAGAAGCCTCCCACAAGGATGATAAAACATCAAAATCATCCGGGCGCCCCCTGGGCAACGTCCTTGCAGACGGCCAAATTCTCTCACACCAGGAGTCACTCCTGACACGACAAAAAAAAATGCACTGTAAATAGCTAATTGTTTTTTTCTTTTGAAATGGCATCCAAATATTTGTTGTTGGAAATAAGTTGCCTTTCCTCCTGCCATTACTCCTCAGGCTTCCCACCAACTCATTGGTTCTCTTATCTGTAGGCAGGACTTCTTTCTTCCCTTTGACACAAGAACCTTGACTGGATAGACTTCTGCAATCATGGAGCTGGTGGGCTCAACCTTGACAGCAACCTTTGCCCATCCCAGACCAACACCCTCAAATTTCCTGCCAGCCATCAGCACCATGGCCTCAAGTTACAAGAACCGATTCCCTCACTATGCACTGACTCATAGTCTGAGCCTTCCTTGGAGACCGAGTACCTACTATAAAGTTGCAGCCATCACCCCAACTTTGGCTCCTTTCTCAAAAAGCTCTCAGGGACTCACCCCAAGCCATGCACTCCCTTTCGTCTCCAACAGAACAAACCTCTTTACAAGGTACACTCCAGATGACTGGTATCGGGCTACTCTGACTAACTACAAGGAGTCAGAGGCATCCCGGCACAATGCTGAGAGGCTGAGGGTGGACACTTCCCGGATGATTCAAGAAAAGGATCAGCAGATCAGGAAAACTCAAAATGAATCCACCAAAAACCTGGGAGAACGCGTCAATGATATAGTGTTTTGGAAATCAGAGATCAACCATGAGATAGATGGGATGATTGGAGAAACAAATGCTCTTACAGAAATGAAGAAGAGAATAGAAAGAGCCCTGGTAGAAACAGAAGGACAACTACAGGTAAATGTGGTTAACTCCATTGATATATACTGTGATTCAGCTATTCCATGCACTTATTGGGCCTTTTCTGCGTTAATTGGTGGTTAATGGGAAATAATCCAAATCTTCAGTGTATGAAAATCATCCTGCAAATCACTGCCAAAAACACCAGGGCTGTATCTGGCTTTAAAAGGGCTACCTTTTCAATCCCAGCACTGCCCTTTGCTCTCATTTTAACTTTAGCTATGAATCACTTCATCTTGACTCTGGAAAACCCTGTCATTTCAACAAGCATCAAATGAATATTATATCTCACACTACACTATTTGCCTCCATTCTCAGAAGAAAATCAGTTCCAGTTTATTGAGCCTTCTCTCTCCTTTCAAAAAAATCAATAGCATTAAGGTAGAGAAAACCTAAAACATCATTCCATAAAGCAGCATTTAAACCATAAACAGAATCTTGTATTATCCTGCAACAGGAAACAGCAGGCTACACAGCAAAAAGAGCTTAGCAGAAAATGTTTTTATAACCAGGAGTAAGTCTCAGAGGTTAGTGCAGTGTTTCTCAAATTCTGCTCCTCCAGGTGTTTTGGACTTCAGCTCTCAGAAATCCCAGCCAGTTTACTAGCTGTTGGGAATTGTGGGAGCTGAAGTCTAAAACATCTGGAGGAGCACAGTTTGAGTAACACTGGGTTATTGGGAATCAATGAAATTGTTAAAGACATTGGAAGATGCCCTTACATTTTTTGGAATACTGGGGGACTAAGGGGTCAACAAATGGTCCGTATGTACTCTGCTTTGCCCACTCTTGTGTATTCAAAACACTTTTTTAAAAAAGGGCTATATCCCCCATCCTGAATTCCTCAGCTATCTAGGGAAGTGGTTCTCAACTGTGGGTCCCCAGGTGTTTTGGCCCACAACTCCCAGAAAACTCAGCCATTTTACAGGCTGTTAGGATTTCTGGGAGTTGAAGGCCAAACCATCTGGGGATCCACAGGTTGAGAACCACTGATCTAGGGGATAATGAGATCTGTAGTAAAAAAATGATTCCATATCTTGAAAATAAATATCATCCACCTGCATCAAAGCAGGTGAACAGCTTCTGCATAGTTCCAAACGAACATCTCTGGCAAATGCCAAATAGGTAGATACTGATAGCATGACAGATAGTATTATCCACCATAAAATGAATTCACATAAGGATCCATTTCAGTGTGTGGGGCACGGGAACACCATGGAACATATTCCTCTGTTACATAATAGCAAATTTGAATAGCAGTGATAATAATGATAATAGCAATAATAACAATAATTTTATTTCTTACCCACCTCTCCTCATGGCTTGAAGCAGGTTATAACATAGTTAAAACACACAATAGATGTAAATACACATATTATTGTAAATAATCGTTGTAAAGACACATATTAAAACATATTTCTATGAAATGCATATTAAAATACACAGAACCAAGATTAAAGCATAGAAGACAAGTTTAAAATTCATGTTTAAAACTGGCTGGTAGGTCTTTAAATGGGTTTCGAAAGCTCATTTACATAAAATATAACTTTCATCAGAGTTTTTTCTAATGTCCAATAGGTAGCCCAGGAATGCTTACTTCACAGAGAGAAGAGGATGGGCATTGATCTTGTTCATGATGATGTAGAAAAACAACTAATGATGGTGAGTTCACACAATACCATGAATAGGGGGAAAATATATATGCAGGGGTAGCTGTGTTGATCATGTAGAAAAGTAAAACAAATGTGGTTTTGTGGATGGTGTAACATGAAGAATGTTGGAAAATTCCAGTTCTGGCTAGTGGTATAATGCTACAGGGTCTTTGAATCCATTTAAAAATCTGGCTTGGTTGTTTGGTTGTATCTTGCCTTTCTATCAAGAAGTATTCCCAGAAATGCTAAAATGAAAGTATTCTGCATGATGTTTTTCTCCATATGTTTTCTGGTATTAATATGATGATCGGGATGGGAAAGCATTTTAGTAAATGCCACATATATCAGGTATGAAGACTAAGAGCCTCACTGATCTTGGACTGCAACACCCATCATCCACTACAAATGTCAGTGTGGCTATGGACCTCTTACACAGGGCATTTTTGCCCCATTTTGCCACTTTGAATCATGACAAGGATGGGGTGAGGATACTTTTCCTCAGAGCAGCTCTGAGCAGTTGTTGTAGTCCAGTAACACCACTCTCTACAGCCCTGACACAAATCTTTCTCTTCATGGTGGATAGCTGACATAAAGGAAACACAGTATGTAAAAAACAAGTTAAAGTATACTCATGGGATCATGGGAGGAGTGGCAGTCGTCTATAAGGTGTGCATTCCCCTGATCAGGTGCCCCATCCCACAATCATCGTCATTTGAGTGTGCCGGCTTTAGGTTAGGTGACCGGGACAGGATAGGGATTCTGTTAGTGTACCGACCACCCCGCTGCACGACAGTCTCCCTACCTGAGCTAGCAGGAGTGGTCTCGGACATGGCGTTGAGCTCCCAACGGCTTTTAGTCCTGGGGGATTTCAATATCCATGCCGAGACCGCTCTTTCAGGTGCAGCTCAGGACTTTATGGCCGCCATGACAACCATGGGCCTGTCCCAACTAATATCTGGTCCCACCCATATTGCCGGACACACATTGGATTTGGTCTTTACGCAGGGATGGGGTGACGGTGTCGGGGCGGAGGAGCTGACCATCGCTCCGTTGTCATGGACCGATCACCACCTGATTAGGTTTAGACTGACTGTACCTTCTAACCTCCGCAGGGGTGGTGGACCCATTAGAATGGTCCGCCCCAGGAGACTTATGGATCCAAATGGATTCCTGACGGCTCTTGGGGAATTTCCCACCTCCCTGGCTGGCGATTCGGTCGATGCCTTGGTCTCTCTTTGGAACACCGAGATGACTAGGGCAATTGACACAATCGCTCCGGAACGCCCCCTCTCGAGTAACCGAGCCAACCCAGCTTCTTGGTTTACTGAGGAGCTGGCGGCAATGAAGCGAAAGAAGAGGCGGCTAGAGCGCGTGTGGCGGAAGAATCCGACTAAATCAGCCCAAACACATCTGAATGCCTTTCTAAGGTCCTACGGTGTGGCAATAGAGGCAGCGCAAAAAACATCCTTTGCCGCCAATATTGCATCTGTGAAGAATCGTCCAGCTGAGCTCTTTCGAGTTGTCAGGGGTTTGTTAAATCCGCTGAAAAGCGAGATCCCTGACAGCTCGGGAGCTCGCTGTGAAACGTTTGCTCGATTTTTCGCAGATAAAATTGGGCGGATCCGGTCGGATTTCGACACCACTTTATCTGCAGTCTCTGAGGATGTAACGAGAGCATCTGCTTGTCAGGTTTTATTGGATTCCTTTCAATTGGTTCAGCTTGAGGATGTGGACAGGATCCTTGGAGAGGTGCGACCTACCACATGCATCCTAGACCCCTGTCCATCCTGGCTGATAAAAGAAGCCAGAGGGGGTTTGGCAGAGTGGGTGAAGGTGGTGGTTAATGCCTCCTTGCAGGAGGGCAAGATTCCAGCCAGCTTAAAACAAGCTATTATAAAACCGCTGTTGAAGAAACCATCACTGGATCCCACTCAATTCGACAACTATTGGACAGTTTCCAATCTCCCCTATTTGGGCAAAGTCATGGAACGTGTGGTGGCAACACAACTCCAGGGGTTTCTGGTAGACACTGATTATTTAGATCCGGCACAGTCTGGCTTTAGGCCGGGACATGGAACTGAGACAGCCTTGGTCGCCTTGGTAGATGATCTTCGCAGGGAGCTGGACAGGGGAGTGTGTCCCTGTTAGTTCTGCTGGACCTCTCAGCGGCCTTCGATACCGTCGATCACGGTATCCTTCTGGGACGCCTCACAGACATGGGTCTTGGGGGTACTGCTTTGCAGTGGCTCCAGTCCTTTCTGGAGGGTCGGTCCCAGAAGGTGTTATTGGGTGACACCTGTTCGGCCCCACAGCCATTGTCATGTGGAGTCCCTCAGGGATCAATTCTGTCCCCGATGTTGTTTAACATCTACATGAAGCCGTTGGGAGAGATCATTCGGAGTTTCGGGCTGCGATGTTATCTCTATGCAGATGATGTCCAGATCTGTCACTCCTTTCCTCCTGTCACCAAGGAGGCTGTCCAGACCTTGAACCGGTGTCTAGCTGCTGTGTCGGACTGGATGAGAGCTAACAAATTGAAATTAAATCCAGACAAGACAGAGGTCCTACTGGTCAGTCGTAAGGCCGAACAGGGTATAGAGTTACAGCCTGTACTGGACGGGGTTACACTCCCCCTGAAGTCGCAGGTTCGCAGCTTGGGAGTGATCCTGGATTCACCGCTGAGCCTGGAACCCCAGGTCTCGGCGGTGGCCGGGAGAGCTTTTGCACAATTAAAACTTGTGCACCAGTTGCGCCCGTACCTTGGGAAGTCTGATCTGGCCACGGTGGTCCACGCTCTTGTTACATCCCGAATAGACTACTGCAACGCTCTCTACGTGAGGTTGCCCTTGAAGACTGTTCGGAAACTTCAACTAGTCCAGCGAGCGGCAGCCAGATTGCTCACTGGAGCGACATACAGGGAGCATACCACCCCCCTGCTATGCCAGCTCCACTGGCTGCCGGTTCAGTTCCGAGCACAATTCAAGGTGCTGGTCTTGACCTATAAAACCCTGTACGGTTCCGGTCCACTGTATCTGTCCGAACGCATCTCCCGCTACGTCCCGCCTCGGAGCTTGAGATCATCTGGGGAGGTCCTGCTCTCGACCCCACCACTCTCACAAGTGAGGCTGGTGGGGACGAGGAGCAGGGCTTTCTCAGTGGTGGCCCCTCACCTGTGGAACGCACTCCCCGGGGAAATCAGAGCATCACCATCCCTCCTCTCCTTCAGGAGGAGGGTGAAAACTTGGTTATGGGACCAGGCCTTTGGGCAACCAGGCAATTAAAGACTAGCAGGATGGACGAAATGGTACTAAAAAACGGATCTATGAGACAGCAAACACTGACAATGCAAGGGAGGAATCTAGGTTTGTATTGATTTTATTGATTTTTATTGATTTTTTATTGGAATAATGCATGATGATGTTAGTAATTGTGAATTTTACTGTAAGTTGTGATGATTGTTGTGTTGCCGGCATCGAATCGTGCCTTACTGTGTAAGCCGCCCTGGGTCCCCTTCGGGGTGAGAAGGGCGGGGTAAAAGAACCCCAAATAAATAAAATAAATTTTTACTGGCTACAAAGAGTAAGCTTTAAATAGATGCACACTGATGATTTCATTCATGAAGAAGCAGCAAGTGAGTGGGTGGAGGGATTATAAGAAAGTCAGAATTAAATAAACCTGTAAAGTATGAAAAATGACAATGTTTTCTTCCATTACTGATTGTTGCTATCGTGTGCGCATGGGAGGAAACAGTTTGGTTTGAAAACAGAATAAAAAAAATCCTCAAGAGGTAACTGTTTTAGGGCACTTACTATTCAGTACATGTCAAGTACTCCCTCATCTTCTGCCTGACTTTTTCCTGTTCTTCCTGCAATTCCTGGACACTGTTTAGGAACCTCACTGATGTTACAGAAGGCAGGAAGTATCCCAACAATAATTTTAAGTATCTCGGTGCTATCTTGGACGTGTCTTCCGGGCCTTGTTTTCCTTTATACATCCTTCTTCTTAGTCCTGCCTTGTTTGTGCTTTCTCCTCTCAAGTGTTTACATCTTCAGCAGTAAAACTTTCCCCATCTGGTTTAGGAAAAATAACTTTTTAGGATTATAGCCCCCAGAATCCCACAGCCAGGAGAACCACAGCCAGGAGAACCACTGTTGGCTGGTGGATTTTGGAATAATGGTTCTCCTTCTCTCAAAAGCTATAAAGCTTTGGTCTGAACCAATACATTTTAATTTTTGCTGAGATCCTGCATCAAACATAAATTTTAATTCCTTGCTGGACCCCTGACATCCACTTTAAAATTCAGTCATTAATAGAGCAATGGAAATCTTTGCTATTGCTAAGTGGGGCATAGCAACACAGATCTCCATCACACTAGACAGCTGACTAACCTTTAAAATGGGTTTCAGGGTTATTTTAGCCTTTATGTTTGTGTCCCTAAAATATACACTGGATGGCTCTTGCCAAATAGTTCTTCAGGTCAGAGTTTGAATCAAAGAGTTCTTAATTTAGTTCAGGGCCGGCTTATCTCTGTCGTACATATTAAGCGATAATCCTAATGTTCTGCATTATGTTCATCCATGATAACATCTATCAATCAAAATGGCTGTTGGTGAATGTGGAATCTTTGCACAATGGCTGGATCTAAACTGCCAAATAATGTATGATGCCTCACAAAAAAGCACTAAACTGGCTTATAGCCTCATATAATCCAGTTCAGTGCAGTTAGCACTTCATCCGACATAGGTGGGGAAAAATTGGAGAAAGTGGGGGAAATTGTCTTCTTGCATGTAGAATTGTCTTCTTTGTATGAGATTACATCTTTAAAGATGACAAATAATTTCCTACCCCCCCCCCCCATCACAGAGGATCACCTCCTCCCGCCTGAACCATCTGCTTAGAGGAGACCTGAAGCACCATTCTTAGACACAATTTCTAGGATACTTGACTTTCCTTTCCAATCCCCTTACTCTTGAGAAGACAAAGGACATTGTTCTTAAGACAGACCCCCCTCCCTTATCTGCACTCCTGTCCTTTCCTCCCACTCTCATTACTCTCAGTAGCAGAAGGCCAAAACACCACTTCTCTGGGCTACCCTTGTTTCCCTCCACTCCCATTATTCTCAATAGCAGAAGTCCAAAATCTAAAAAGCTAGAAGTAGCACAATTTCTAAATCCAAGATTACTATGAAGGAGAAATAACAGAAAAAACAAATTGGTGATATCTTGACATTTCAGTATTTCTAATGATTAAATTAAATTTAAAAAATACCTCACCAGGCTCATGTAGCAGGATTTTAGGAGAGAAATGGCAATGCTTGGTAGAAGACCACCCAGAGGAACACTACTTACTCTGTGTCACTGGAGCAATTCAACATGGGCAAATTTGAAAGATCCCATCCATGTCTTTCCCTCACTTTCTCCCATTTCGATACAAATATGGAGCTCAGAAGACGATTTCCCCCTGCCTCCCCCCTCCAGTTTCTTAACATTTCAAAAACAGTTCTCTGATCATGGACCAACAGACAGAAGTCTGTCTGCATCATTTGATGGGCTCCTTGATTCTTAGTTAGGGAACTGTCAAGAACGGTGGGGGGACTACGTGGGACAAAGTCCTTAACTTGCATTCTGAAACTGCAACATATGGCAGTATAGATCCAGCCAATAACATTCTAAAACCCTGATCAATAGAACATTTCTCAGTAAAGTCAATAAGAAGTCTAATGATCAGGGCATATTTTTAAACAATGTCTTGCTTTTGCCACACTATTAAGATTCCAGACTACAAATCCTGCAATCTGTTGGGCCAGACTTACTGTCATTTCTTCCAGTATGCTTACTTGCTAATACAGGCAAGTGACACACAGTTAAGCTGGACATCAGAAGCTATCTGGGTCCTTCTTTCATCCAAAGCAAACAAGGTGTTTTCCAACAAGGAGTGCCGTGTGGAAACATTTAGTCCTACAGAGCCATAATTTTGGCAACACAAAAAGCATGTGGGCATCAAAATAATTTCAGATGTTAAAAAAAGTTTTGTGGGGGAAAAAACTAAAAGAAAACTTCTCTGATTTGGTGAGGATGCCTGATTGACCAAATTGATAGTAGATGAAGAAGCTCATGGGAAATATTACCTACTCAAATTAGCACAGGTCAGCTATGTAGCTGCAAAGTGTCACTTTGCTGACTCCTGTTTTTAGAACCAGGGGCCTGTTCACATGGGGCATTTTTGCCCCGTTTTGCCGCTTTTAATTGTGGCAAGGATGTGGCCTGCTATACACCATCACCCAACCCAGAGGCGGCCCTAGGTAATTTTCAACGGTAAGCAAACAGTATTTTGGTGCCCCCTTCCCCAACCAGTCACTGATATATATTTTCTGTTCTTCATGGGAGTTCTGTGTGCCATATTTTGTTCAATTTCATCATTTGTGGAGTTCAGAATGCTCTTTGATTGTAGGTGAACTATACATCCCAGTAACTATAACTCACATATGTCAAGGTCTATTTTCCCCCAAGAGTGCCTCAAGAGCGCCCCTGGGCAAAATCAATTATACTGCAAATGCTTACTTTGCATAATGGGTTGAGCCGCCCCTGACCCAATCCATACTAGGCCCTGGCCACATTCCTCCCAAAGTGGAGGGAAAGCACTGAAAGGTGCTCTCCCCTCCACTATGGGGAGGAAAGTGTACTTTAGATAGCTCCGATTGAGCTATCCACACTTTCCTCCCCCTTTTGCTGTGTGATGGCAGAAAGGGTGGCAGGGCAACATGTGTTGCTCCACATTGCCATTCTTTCACCCATCTAATGAGGGGAGGGAAAGGGTGATGAGGGGAGGAGAGAGGGTGCATAGGATGCCATGAGCCACCCTGTGTGCTTTCCCTTTCACTGCTGATTGCCGGTGCAATGTCATGGCCCAAAAGGGCCATGAGAAGAGGTCCCTGGTCTACTTTGCCAAACAAATCTCAAATCAGCGGTCTTCTTATTCATATATTTGCATTCAGCTGTCGTTATTCTTTTAAAATCCAATTTTTAAAAGGGGCATAAGGGGCAAAGAAGTTGGCAGAGAGGGGTGAAAAAGCACCACAAGAACACACTGTCAGTGATGGGATAAACTGGTCACAGCTTTTGGTGCTTACATCTTACAGAGTTTGCCTATGCCTTTTATCAAGTATGCAAGAAGCATTCAGTCATGAGATGGTCAGCCTGCTGGCTGATGCTCTCCCCATTGTATCTGTTGATGAGCACCAGTATGGTAGCATGATCTGGAAGCCCACTAGAGTATGTACCAATACATGTTCCCTCTCATCAACGGAGGGTAAGGCTGGCATACCATCCCTGAACCGATAATCAGAGAAACAAAGAGCTGGAAGATAGCCCAATGGCAATCCAGCCCGATCCCGTGACATGCAGGAATACACAATCAAAGCCCTCCAGACAGATGGCTATCCAGCCTCTGTTTTAAAAACCCCAAAGAAAGAGAGTCCACCACACTCAGGAAGTTTTTCCTAATGTTTAGGAGTCTCTTTCTCTGTAGTTTAAATCCATTGTTCTGCGTCTTTAGAGCAGCACAACTATAATGTCTTTTCCTGTCCAGGTTGCACATGCCCAGCTCCCTAAGCCACTTCTCATAGGCCATGGTTTAATAATTTCAGTCATCTTTTTTTTTGTTGCACACATTGCATTTGTTAATATTCTTCTTGATTATAGTACCCAGTATTGGACACAGTATTGGTCAAAGGAGAATGCAGTGGTAGCATTTATTTTCTTGATCTAGACTCTGTATTCCTATTGATGCAGCTTAGAATTGCATAAGCATTTTTAGTGGTCATTTCACACTATTGATGCATGTTCAACTTGTGGTATATGAGGACTCCTAGATGTCTTTAACAGTGTCACCCTTCCTTTATCGGGAAATTTCATTTCTTCTGCCTAATAGTACTATAAGTTAAGTATCCCTTTTCCAAAATGCTTTGGATAGAAGTGTTTTGAATTTTGGAATTTCTTTATTTGCATATGCATACATAGTGGCATCTCTTAGAGATTGAATCTAAGTCAAAGCACAAGATGGGGAGGAGGAAAGAGACATTTTACTGCTGAGAAAATAGAGGATTCTCTAAGACATGGCATGTATAGTTGGACACCATGTGCTTTAAAAAGTCACAGAGAAGACATTATTTGTTTCTTCAGATAATTGGACCCATGTTACCTTCATTAATTCAAGAAAATGTTAACAAGGTTTTTGTTGTTTTGCTTTTTTGCTTTAATGGCTTGACCAGGAGGTTGATGTCATCCACTCGTGTCAAGAGAGAATGAGAAGACATTTGGACAAGGCAATTGCCCAGCTTGCGTAAGGAAATTTCTCATCTTCACTTTCCTCAAAAGGTTTTTAAAAATAAATTCTGATGTGAGCACCTCATCCGTTTTTCCAATAGTGCAGCATAAGAAGTAGAAATGTTTCCAAAATCCTCCTTGGTTTTCTTATTCAGCAAGACCAGAAGGAAACCATCTGTCACTGAGAAGTACAAACTTGTCTGTTGAACATACTCAATAAAAGGCATAGGCAAATGGTAGAATAGCCCTCAAGTTAATGATCTTGCCAAGAAAACCCCATGGTAGGTTTGCCTTATGTTCTCCATAACTCAGAAACAACTTAAAAACACAGGATCATAAAACTTGGCAGGTAATTAAGACATGGTAAGACCAAGGGGAGAAATGAAGTCCCATCAATATTTTGACAGACCACTGTGTTCAGGTTATGACCTTTAAAGCTCTACATGGTTGGCATCCAGGATACCTACAGGACTGCCTTCTCCCACTTAGGCTCTCTGGGAGAATGCATTGTTTACTTCAATCAGATATCTTAATGGAATTCAGACTTAGTTTCTTAATTGTCAGGCATTACTGAGCCCAGACACTGGTTCTACACTTGCAAGTCATCTCTCTAACTAGTGTTGAGTGGCATTGGCATATTGATGGCAGCTCCCCACAAGTCCTATGGGTTCTCACGTAGTGGCTTATTATATTTATTAAACAGAGAGTTAAAATGTAATTTTGTGGGGCATCATACATTCATGCTGTAGAATTGAGCCCAAATCCTGATAACAACCCTGCAGATAAGTGCAAAGCCACGTCCCTCCCTCACAGAACAGGTCCAGTAATAGACCATGGGTAATGGTATTATTATTATTATTATTATTATTATTATTATTATTATTATCAACAACATAATTATTTCCTGCCTTTCTTCTAGGATTGGGACCCACAGTGGCTCACAATCTTAAAAACTATACAATTTTAAACACACAAAATAGTAATATTCAAATAGAATTTAATATTGTGTCATAATTTTGTTAGCCACTTTGAGTCCCTATGGGGGAAAAGTTGGGATATAAATAAAGATTACAATTATTAAAAGAAATAACACGTATTAAAGCAAATAAAACATGTGATTTTTCTGCTGTTGATGTGATTTTCCTGTATCTTGGCAGGGGGTTGGATTGGATGATCCACAAGGTCTCTTCCAATTCTATGATTCGAAGATTCTATGTTAGTATCAACCCCTGTCCCATTCTTTAAAATGTTCTGCCTTAAAAGCCTGCCTGAATAAAATCAAAAGCTCCTGAGAGACCAAGGAGAATCAACAGCCACCTACATATTACGTATTTAGTACTCAAGAGAAATAATCCACCAGGGTCGTCAATCCATTAGGTTCCAGAACCAACCTTAAAGGCTGAGATGGATAGTTCAGATAATCTGTGTCTTACGAAACACTCTAGAGTCATCACTACCATATCCAAAGCTGTGACTTTCCAGGTGAAAAAGGATACAAATTTTGAATTATATCAAATTTCAAATATGTTCTACATCATATTTTAATATAAGCATGAAAGATGGAGGTAGTTTGTCAGTATCTGAGCCATCCAACTTCAATTTAGCATGTAAACAAACTATGTATTACAAGAACAGGAATTACTTATTGATTCTAGACTACTACTGGAAGCTGAAATTAGCTCAAGCTATAACCTGAATCTAGGCAGTAATTTTCTGATTGAGATCTTGACTGTGTTTTTATAATACAATTATTAGCTGCTCTTGAGTCTTATGAGGGAGAGTAGGGTTCAAATAAAACTGAATGAAATAAAGAAATGTCAAGTGGAGTTACATTATATGAAAAGCCACAGGGATGAAATTAGGATTCTAGTTTTGAAAAGCTGAAATATTATTGTTGAAATAATGATAATGGGTCGAAGGAGTCGTTATCTGGGATACACTTGGGGTGTGTGCATGTTCACAGAAGTTATCATTACAACTAACCTTTTAATATTTTCCCCAATAGAGCAAATAGAGCAGCTCAGCATGAGCTGGAGAAAGACCTGAGCGACAAGCAAACTGCTCACCGAATTGATGACAAATGTCACCATCTGAGGAACACATCTGATGGCATTGGCTATTATCGGGGCGTGGAGCGAGTGGATGCTACGTGAGTTTTCCAAAGGCTTGTACACAAGCTCCCTTTGGAGGAAAGGGCTGCTGATCTTATCTGATGTCATGCTAATGAAGTAATAGCACAGAAGAATCATTCACTCAGGCTTGCTGTAGGAAGCTATTGTGTAAACAGATATATAGGTTTCTGCATTGCCTCAGCTGACAATATCCTTCTATGTATCTTAGGAAAGGCCACATAAATGCCACATACTTCATGGCTTAATGTTACAATTCCTGCTACTGCCTCTGAATTTGCCACTTCCACCACAGACTTGAGGCTGCATTCATATGCATGAGCCATAAATGGTTACTTGTTGCCTGAGATTTCACAAAAGCCATCCTCAATTCCACCTAAAGTTTACATGCATATGGAAAGCTGGAGCTGTGCTGTGGCTGCTTATTCCTGCTAATTTCTGAGTAGGCATAATACATCCATGTATATTGAGTTATGCCTCTGCTTAGCCTGTATTGTCACTCCAGTTTTATATTCCACCAGTCAAGCTTTTATTTTAAAAGGGAAACAAATTACACATACAAACTAGAGCACTGTCATATGACTGCAACTGTACCCTTTTCTTCTTTTTTAAAAAAGAGATGCATGTAAAAGATTTTCACTACACATTGTGACTGTGTGCATGAGCATGAATGATTAGCAGAAGTTTTGAATAATTTGTGGCTGCTGTGGTATTGAAAATCCCTATCTACCACTCCCCTTTCTTTGTCCCATCTTTATCTTTCTCTATATATGCTAGTAAGATGCTGAAACATTAACATTTGTAAAAATGTGTGTTGAAACGGACACATCTCAAAATAGTACATTTGAAACTTAAAATAGTGTCATATGGTGCAAATGGAGCTAGTATTCCTTCTGCATTGTTTCAAAAGGATCCACACAAACTGTGTACAGGCTTCCTTGTTTGTTTCTTTTTGTCCTTTCCCAGGATTTCTGTGCCAGAATCCTGGGCCAAGTTTACAGATGATAACATTCTCCGCTCTCAGAGTGAGCGAGCAGCCTCTGCCAAACTCAGGGATGATATTGAGACGCTGCTCGTTGTGACTGCCAATGAGATGTGGAACCAATTTAACAAAGCAAACGTTGCCTTTACCAACCGCATCTCAGAAACAGCTGACGCCAAAAACAAGATCCAGACCTATCTGGCTAAGGTGGAGTCAATTGTTCTTCTCCCTGATTGGGGCTAACTGCTCTCTCCCTTCATGATATAGCTTTATTGCAGGAGTTGGGTAGAGCTTTGCAGTGTGCTTGCTGTACTGGCTTTGTTGGGAAATCGATTCTTTGGAAGAGGGGTTTTTCAATGGGGTAATCCTGTCAGTGATCTTTGGTTTAGATACCAGGCCTTTATTAGCCTAAATACATATAGATACAGTTTGGCTGCAATCTGAATATATATATTACAAAGAAGTACATTGATCAAAAGACCTTAAAAGCATCAGATCCTGTCTGATCTTGAAAGTTAAGCAGAGTTAGCCTTGGATGGCAAACTGCTAGGAAATACTAGGAAATACAAGATACTATATTGTTTGTGCATTTCTTAACCAGAATTCTGAAATTTGTAATATTCTAAAATCCCAAATTGTCCACTTGGGTGACTGAGTTAGTGATACCCTTGCTGTATTTGATGACTCAAGCTTGACAAACTTTCATGCACAAAATTATTTAAAATGCTATGTATAACATTACCTTCAGGATATGTGTATAAGGTGTATATTAATAATTTAGACTAGAGTCCTGTCTCTATGATATCTCATTGTGTGTATACATATGCAAATCCAGTAATTTGAACTGTACAATAAATCAGTTCTGAATTAATGCTGGCTTTTCAGCTGTGATTTTAAAAACATAGGGGGAAAAACAGAACTCTTATGAGCAGTGTCATCAATACATGGGTAGGGATTACATTACTGCTAAAATAGCTCCTGATATTCCATCTTCTCTTGTTTGTGTTGAGCATGTGATGGAAATGTTACTTTAATGGCCCATTGAAGATGTAGTCATTCCTTCCATTTTAGTGAAATTTTGACAGAAATCAATGCACTCACAAAAAATACTCCAATACTAGACCACTGTAAAGTTAAGAGTCTTCAGACACATGTCCATTTATCCTTTATTCCAGGACTGATCTGGAGTGTCAAATTGTTGTTTTATTGTTTTAATTAATGTTATATGTATTGGTTTTAATGATTGTTTTGTATTTAATTGTATTATATTATTGTAATTGTGATGCAGCTGTCTTGCACAATTACTAATATAAGCCGTCCTGAGTCCCCCTTCGGGGCTTGAGAAGAGACGGGGTACAAATGCCAGAAATAAATAAATAAATAAATAATTCTGGATCATCCCCAGGACAGTTTTGTTTGCCAGCCCCCTATCCACCCATCTACCCCAGCCATTTTGGAGATGGGGTAGATCCACCCTTATCCCCCCCCTTCCATTCTCTTTGTAGTGATGGCCAGTAGGCAGGACATGGCTAGTGTCCATTGCTCATCACGTGGAGTGAGATTAGCCTTCGCCAACATCACTTTAGGCAGTGAGCAACAGATACTAGCCACCACTATGACAAGAATGGGAGTGGAACAGTGAGAGCCATCCCATGTCCCTGGGTCACTCGAGTCCGGGAAATGGGGAATAGCTGTGTAAACATTTACAAATGGTTTCATCTTGGAACCAACTTGGACCAATTGCTTACACAGGTCCAAATTTGTGGTTTGCTCTGGATTCTTGGGAAGAATTTGAAGGAACCCACAACTTTTGTTAATGTGATTAAAGGCCACAATAAGCAGCCATACCCCATGTTAACCGAAATCAGCTACATGTGTTGTGCAGCTACCACTGAGCTGATTCTGCCCCCTACTTTTCAGGAGATTCATGTCCCCCTCTTCAAAATAATGGATCAGTGCAGATGTGCCCTCTATCATTCCTGGGCTTCTGCTCCCCACAGGAGAAAACTCAATTTAAGGAGAATTGAAAGTTGCAATGATTCAGTCAAAGTGGCTCGACGCACAGAAAAAGGCTACAAAGGAATGGGTTACAACTCTGGATCAATTCAAGTTCTATTACAAAAACGCAATGCAGAAGAAAAAAGTGTGCATTTTCACTTGTTATTTTATTTTATTCCTTTTTTTTTTAAATAGAGTTCTTGTTGGATTTTTCTTATCACCTTTCTTTCCACAATCTGCAGACTCTGCAAGAAATCTTTGAGACAGAGATGACCATAGAAGCAGTTCGGAAAGCTGTCAGGAGCAAAAGTGCTTCCTTGAAGGTGGCCCAGACTCGCCTAGATGAGCGCACAAGGAGACCCAATATAGAACTCTGTCGGGACTCTGCTCAGTTACGGTATGTTGCATTGTTGCTGTACTTGGGGTCAGGTGTGCTGAATAAACTATAAGAAAATTTAGGAATGTGAAGAATTTCCACAAACATTTTGTCCTCAATAAGAATGGGAGTTACTGGGGGTGGGGGTGGGGATAAAATGTTTTAATGTTTTGCTTCTGTGTCAGATCATCATGTCTGTTTTTCACCAATCAGTAATAGCAAACAATTGGCTTTTTATACACTAATATTTTGTTTTGGAAAACCACCTCCTAAATTTGAATTTTTCACAAAAAAACCTTCCAAAAATGCAAAAGGAAAATAAAAGAAACATGTAAAGGATCTCTATCACCTAAAGGGAAGAAAAGTTTTAAATGTTTAATTTTTGTATGGAAGAATCAATAAGTGAAGATTTACCTCCCTAGGACATTTGGTTTCATCTGTCACACCCAGAAAGAATAGCTTTTTCACATGTCCATTAAGCTCTGAGTGCTGGCTACAATTGGAGACAGGAAATGGGACCAAATAGATTTGTTTGTCTAATCCAGTTTTGGCATTGTTCATGTTATACTCAGTTCACTGACAGGCAGCAAATGGGATTCATCTCAATATGCCTTCTTGGCACCTTGGTTGCTTTCATTCACCTTTCACTCACTCTTTCACTCACTCTGCTGGCTTTTTCCTACTCACAGTAGTTAAAGAAATATGAAGCCCATAAAAAAACCAAACTAAAAACCAGAATACTAAAATGTGAACAGGAAACCACAACTTTCCATTCTCTCTTCCCCCATGTCTGCTGCCTGTCTCACTGGCATTTTTCCATAGTTCAGTCTACAAATTTTCTCTCATTAGTTTTGTGGGGAAAATGCATTCTTTCTTTTCTACTACCATTTTCATTACACTAGAGAATGAATCCACTTTAAATGCAGTTTCTGCCTCCTGCAGAATTCTGGGGTTTGTAGTTTAGTGAGGCTGTTAAAGGCTCCTCCCTAAACTACAAACCCCAGAATTCTGCAGGAGGCAGCAACCAGATTTAAAGTGGATTCATTCTTTAGTGTGATGAGGTCTTTAAAGAAGTAAACTATCGTATTAGTTTTCTTATAGAAACCTAACTAGTGAACATCAGTTGGAGAAAGATCAATGGTATCCACAGAATTCGCAACAACAGAGTCTTGAGGCATTTCAACAATTCATACATTAATTTATCATAAGCTTTTGTGGCTTAGGATTGCCTGGTCAGATGCATGGAGCTGTAGCTATATACATATATGGATGGGTTGGGATAAAACTGAGGTTAGTGAGAAATGAAATCACAGTGATTGTTATAACAGCTATGATCATTCACCAAGTAGAGTTGTTTTGTGTGATGCCACTAAGATACATGGAGAAGATTAGTTAGAAACAAGAGCAGTCTCTTTGCTGATTTGAGCATGCTAACATCCTTTCTTGATGTGTTCTGCCCAGCCTTGTTAATGAAGTGTATGAAATTGATGACACAATCCAAGGACTTCAACAGAGGCTGAGAGAAGCAGAAGATACCCTCCAGGCTCTGGTTCACACTAAAGCCAACCTAGAACATGATCTAGCTATAAAAGCAAATTCGCTCTTCATTGACCAGGAGAAATGCATGGGGATGCGGAAGACCTTCCCCAACACACTGCGACTGGTGGGTTACACATAGGAAGGAGCCAATCACACAGCATATGAGGGAGCTTAGGGCCTCCCTAGATAATAAAAAGTGTGTTGAGGGGAGGTTTGTTCTGTTGCACATTTGTGAGCTTTTTATTTTTGATGATATGACTGTATTTTCACATATTAAAGAATGCTGTGCACAGGAATTCACTGATCTGTTTGATGTGTTTAGTGTATTCCTTTTTCTTCTTGTTGAATGTTTTCCTTTATGGTAAATAACAAAGTGGCATGCAGCCCAATCGTATTCATGTTTAGTTGGAAATAGATTTTACTGATCTCAGTCAGTGGACAAAGCACAGTATCTGAATTTTACCAATTTGTAATTCTTATCACCTTTTGTGAGGATAGCCAATGGTGATGCATGCTGGGAGGTGCAGTGCTTCAACATCTGGAGGATTGGACCTTACTTCTTTCATTCTTGAGTTAAGTTTCTCAAAAGAAAGTATGGATATAACAGCACCCGGCACACTGGCTCCATAGAACAGTAGTTCTCAACCATCCTAATGCCATGACCCCTTAATACAGTTCCTCATGTTGTGTTGAGCCCCACCACAACATTATTTTTTTTTTGTTGAAACCTCATAGCTGTCATTTTGCTATTGTTATCATAATGTAAATATATTATATACTGGATGTATTTTCATTCATTGGACCAAATTTGGCAAAAATATCTGATACACCCAAATTTGAGTACTGGTGTGTTTGGGAGGGGATCGATTTTGTCATTTTGGAGTTATAGTTGCTGGGATTTATGGTTAACCTACAATAATAGAGCATTCTGAACCCCATCAATGATGGAAGTGAACCAAACTTGGCACACAGAACTCCTGTGACCAATAGAAAATACTGGAAGGGTTTAGGGGGATTGACCTTGATTTTTGGAGTTGTAGTTCACCTACATCCAAAAGCACTGTGGACTCAAATAATGATGGATCTGGACCAAACTTGGCATGAATCCTCAATATGCACAAATGTGGAGTTTGGGGGAAATAGAGGGAGTTGAGGTTGCTCAGATTTCTAGTTCACCTACAATGAAAGAGCATTATTAACCTCACCAACGATAGAATTGAACCAAACTTCCCACACAGAACCCCCACGACCAAAAGAAAATATTGTGTTTTCTGATGGTCTTTGGTGACCCTTCCGACACCCCCTTGTGACCTCCCCAGGGATCCTGACCCCTAGGTTGAGAAATCCTATCATAGAAGGAATCACATGTTCTTGGTTTTCTTTGTACCCAAATAAATGGTTGGTTCTAAGGGTCTGATATGTGTAATCTCAATCCCTCGACTGGACTCACCCAGCTGTATAATGATAAGCATCACAACTGGGGAGATTTCCATTGCTTTAACTCTAAAAAATTGGAAGTATTAGGAAAAGAGTCAGGAAATATTTGTCCAAAATTGCAATAAGGTCCTGAAATTCCTTGTATATCTTAGACACATTAAAATATAATAAGCAACATATCAATTTAAAAAGAAACTTCCTCAAAGGAGGAAGAAAAAGGGAGGGATGATAAATGTGACAACACCTATAAGTCAAAGTGTGTTTATATTCATTAAAGCAAAAATAAAAATTACCGTAGTTATTCTCTAAGATGCTGCCATATTTCTTTTCCCTCCTTTTCTTTTCACTTTTTATGCTGCAAGATACTAGCATGGCTATTTCTTTGAAAACTTCTTCAGAATATCATATTTTAAGAGGTCAGGATTTTCTTTCTATCTTTTTTTCTTCCTCACTTTGAGAAATATGATTTCTACATTTGTATTATGTGCTTTTATAGGATGTTTGGTGGTGTGCTACACCGCTGTAGAGAAAGAGCATGCATTTCAATGGGAAGAGTCTTGATTATACCTACTGGCTTACCAACAGAGATACTTAGGTAAATTTAGCAAAATATCAATGTGATTTATCATGGAAACATTCCCTCTCTGTATGTTGATATAAACAACGAGGCACCTCAGATGGGAGCTGTAGATATAACAAATTGGTCAGACTTTAAATAAGCCGTCTCTGTAAAGGCCCGAAAGAACAACTTGCAGTGAGAGCACAGCCAAAGCTATTCTGGTAGGTTTGGATAGATAAATTTGAACCTCAAAGGCTTCCACTTACAAAACCACTCTCTGTAATTAGAAAGCTATAGAATTGCCAACAAATCACCAAGATTCCTGAATTCATCTATAATTAGGTGTATTGCTCTCCATATCTGAAGAGTGGTGTCATGAGTACAGTTAAGATCTAAATGGATTCTTTCTCAGCTCCATATAGATTAATGCAACAACTTTATAGACTTCTCACCATTGTACTGGATATTTTTAATTTGTTTCTGTTTTTGTTTATAAAAAAGATATTTGCATATTTAACAGGCTGCTATACTTTTCTTTTAATAGTGATCAGAATACCTTAAAGGGAGCAGATCCATCTGATCTTGGAAGCTAAGCAGGGCTAGTCCTCATGAATACTTAGATAGGAAACCATCAACAAATATCAGGTCTGTGGGTTATATTTCAGAGGAAGGAACTGGCAGAGTCACCTCTGAATATTTCTTACTAATGTCCAATAAAACAGATAAATCAATTAGTCAGAAATGGTCAGAGCAACAGTATCAGTATAGTGAGCAAAGAAGAAGCATTAAAGGCAACTTTTTTTTTTTTACTAAAAATCAAAGTTATTCTGGAAAAAAAAGCATTCAGTTATCTCGGGGGGGGGGGGGGGGGGGGGGGAGCAGAAGTAAATTGGAGTATGTCTTTGCAGAGGTGCCACAAAAAAAGTTCCACTCCACAGAAATGTAATTATGGTGTGCCCGCCCCTCCTATGACATTTTCTTACAGTGCTCAGATTTCTAGCATTCTATAAAGTGAGAAATTGGAAATTATGCAGATACTCAACTCTTACCATATAATTGTTTTGTTTGTATTCCCTTGGCTACTTTGCTTGACCTTTTCTTAAGTCATAGGGAATGGCTTGAATACACATGAGGTATACCCATGCCTCACAAAATGCCCCTAACAAAGAATCTAAACCACAGCCACAGTATTTCCCTCTCCTGAAGGCTCCTTGTTTGGGTTAGCAGACTTAATATGACTGCATAGGATTACCAGTCATTTTTCAATAATAATGGTCTCTTGCTTTTATTCCTACCTCTCTCTAATAAACAATATTGGTTCATCCTTTAATAGCATCAATCTTTAAATAGTGAATACAGGATTGGTTTCTTTGTCCTCCAAGAAAAAAATCAATTTCCTCATTGTGGTCTCTGCACCCCACACAAATAAGTTTTGTGCAGGACTCCCATCTCACACTGACTGTTTTACAGCAGCTGCCTCCCTTCCCCAGGAATTGTTATTCTTTCCATATCCTCTGATTTCCAGTTTACTCTTTTTGTTCTCCTATCCCTCTCAGCATGTTTAATATGTTGCTGTTATGTTGGGAAGGTCAAGCATGGTGAGAGAAGTGTGTGCAGGTGTCAGTCATAGGAGTCAAAATAACTAGCCAAGGTTTGGATATTACACCTGAATCAGGGTAAGTGAACGGGCTCAAACAACAAAATTCTGAATCCACAGCTTACTCAATGGCAGCGGGAATAAAAAGTCACCAACCCCCCCTCCCCCCCCCCCACCACCACCACCCCCACCCCACACACAAGCACATCTTTTAACATTTGTTAAAAACGGATGGCATTGTTTCACAAACCAACTCCTAACAAGGCTTCTGTCAGTCTTCATTTTCCAACTGCTATGAAGAAGTTCCAGAGACATTCTGTTGAAAAGAAGGCAGTTAACATGGCTGATTTGCTGCACCATGTGTCTGCTTGGTATTATTTAAAAAAAAATGGAAAGGGAGAAACTGCAAGGCTACACATGTTTGCCCTTTATGTTGATGCCCATGCTGTGTGTATTAACGCTGCTTCCTTTTTCTGAGCCAAATCATCTGCCTCCACTGTCTTCCCTGTCATAGAAATCCTATAGTAAGATCCTTCAATCCTCTCTGTCCTAAATTGTATATATGTGAATATTCCAGCAAATTGGATTTTTAAACATAAAACTACTGTATGTCAACTGCAATTTGGCAGATAAACTGCAATTTATTATCCAAATCTCTATTATCTGAAGGAGATAACCTTGTTATATTGAGGGTTGTGGAAGAAGAAAAAACATTAGAATCTGGGAACTTGGAAGCTGCAAGAGTGGTAATTGGAAACTTTGTTGTATATGGAACATCCCAAATTATCTCTACCAGCCATCTATATTAAGGCAAGATATTCTCTGTGCATCTCCTCCTGCGGTTACAGATTACACACTGGGAAGCCTCAACAGTTGGAATGGAAAGGGCAATGTGTGTGGGAAAAGGAATGGAGGTGAATGGCCTGTACTAAAAAAAAAAGTTAATTCTGGTCATCCCCCCCCCTCCCACTTTGCTAATTTGCTCACTCTGAATTTGCACACAGCATAAGAACTACATGTGTCAGCAGCTGCCTCGAAAAGCAACCTAAAGGGCATGAGTGGTACCCACCTGGAAACAAAGTATTGGTATTCTGCAGTATTTCCACATCTATCCTCCATCTTTACATAGGTCAGTTTGTGTCTCCTGGCTTGGACTTCTAAAAGTGTGATACAGTTACGTTAAGGCAGAAGCAGCACATCCCTTTTACAGCAGAGGCAACTTGTGGCCCTCCAGATGTTGTTACATTGCAATTTCTATCATCTGTCATAATTGACTATGCTTTTTAATGCTGATGAGAACTATCATTCAGAAACATCTGGGGACTATGTGATGCTCAGGTGTATTAGAAAGAATACATGTATTTATTTGTTATTCTCTTTTTTCCTAATCAGCATGAACCTGGGGTCCCATACTTCTATTTGAACAATCAGAGCCCCCGGTGGCACAGTGGGTTAAACCTCTGTGCCAGCAGGCCTGAAGACCAACAGGTCGCAGGTTTGAATCCGGGGAGAGCACAGATGAGCTCCCTCTGTCAGCTCCAGCTTCCCATGCGGGGACATGAGAGAAGCCTCCCACAAGGATGGAAAAACATCAAAAACATCCAGGCATCCCCTGGGCAACATCCTTGCAGACGGCCAATTCTCTCACTCCAGAAGCAACTTGCAGCTTCTCAAATCACTCCTGACACAAAATGTTTTGAACA